AGCACAAATCCAGAGTTCAGTCAGAATCATCAAGGCAAGCTGGATATAGACAAGAAACTTCTGAACAATGTCAAACCAGCTCAAACACGATCTAATTTCAAATAAAGCTTTGTTTGATTAAATGCTTTTTTATTTCTTGCATCACAGCTTTTGTCTACTTACTGAATAATTTGCTGAAAAAATACTGATCTATACATTTCAAATCTAAATTTTCACCATGCAGCGGCGGGTAACTCAGCTAGTACTTTATAAATCTGGTGTTACATTTGCGTTTTTTTTTTACTGCACCTGTCCTGCCATCTTTCAGCAGCTATTGTAACTATTTGATTATATTTTCTTGTTAAAACTGTTAATATCAAACTATAATTAAACAGTTGTCACTCTATCTAAAGTAGAACACTCATGCCATTATCTTAGCTTGAAGGATCGTTCTGAAGTAATTTTTGGTATAAATAAATTGTGTCAGTGCCTATTAAGCTTTTTAGAAATACGTTGCTATCGAAGTAGCCTTCTATCATCTAGTGTATTCTAATATTTGAAAAATTAAATCGTCATGTGCTTATACTGAACCATAAACACACACATAGACACCAAACTGTTATAATAATGTTTTTTTTTAAGTTTTTTTTTCAAGGTCAATCGCCCAATTACAGAAAACCGGTTTTGTGGTCTCGTTACCCATTCATTAGTCATGAGTAGCGGCAGTTACGAACACAAAGATTTTGAAAGTGTGTTGTGTATGTGCACTTATTACCCTTTCACAGATATTTTATATCCAGATATTATATAGAAAACCGTATAACTTTTTCATTGTTTAAGATAACCCAACTTAAAAACAAAGTAAGATAGTTTTGCCAAACATTAAGATACACCAGATGACAGCCTATTTTGATAAGTAACATAATAAATCGATGATAACCAATTCTATTAATATTAAAATACACCAGATGACAGCCTATTTTGATAAGTAACATAATAAATCAGGTGATAACCAATTCTGTCAATATTGAAATACACCAGATGACAGCCTATTTTGATAAGTAACATAATAAATCAGGTGATAACCAATTTTGTCAATATTAAGATACACCAGATGACAGCCTATTTTGATAAGTAACATAACAAATCAGGTGATAACCAATTTTATCAATATTAAAATACACCAGATGACAGCATATTTTGATAAGTAACATAATAAATCAGATGATAACCAATTCTGTTAATATTAAAATGCGCCAGATTACAACCGATTTTTATGAAATATGAATAAATACAAAAACAAATAACGGATGAAGTCCTAGAGTTCACCAGGTTACGACTGATACCACAAGTCATAAAAATAAACCAAGTAAAAAGCTGCTATCAAAAAGTATTAATTAAGAGAACTAACCAATGGTTTATTAAAAGATAGAGCCGAGTGGACGATAACACATTAATTTGAAATTACGTCTACGTTCAATTGAATAATAGGAACTTTTATCTTTAAATGTTTGTGTTTCTAATTATGATGAGCAATCCTTTATACCTGTTTCCTGTCAAATGTGTAAACTATTTTTTAATATCGACTTCGTTTTTCAACCTCAAAGCTCGCATAGATCATTGTATGAGTTCAACTAACAGAAACAAACATCCTATATAAAAGAAAAGTACGTTTCTTATTTTGGAACTTTCTGTCATCACAAGCCCGTTTTGTTTTATATTTTATTATAAGACGAATTTGCCTATAAAGAAGGAAATGGCCATTCACATGTCACGTGAAGGATCACGTAAGAGGAGAATCTTGTACTGAATTTAAAAAAACTATTTTCCAGAAAATTTAATTAAGTTTTTTCTTGGTCATTGAAATGTTCAAAACCGATTACCTGTGAGACATAAAAGAGATTTGTACAAAACAATTATGAGCACCTTCTATTTCAATGTGTGTTTGATACTCCTGGCATTTCGTGTAATCTTTGATATTTTCAACACCTTATGCGACACATGGGCTAAATGGCCGAGTATCAAGCATATACATCCCTAATTTTGATCTTCTGACTAGAAGAAGGGCAATCAGTCAGCAGCACACGCTACCAACACGGCATCACTTAACCGAATAGTGATATTGACTTTGACTTTTATAATGACCCCCACAGCTGAAAGCGTGAAGCTCGTTTAACGGTATATCGAAGACTCGAACGTTGGACTTTACGATCGCGCCGTTCATACGCTAGCCACTAGACCGCGCCCACTCCTTACGCCTGGCTTCCAGTATAGCTGATATACATTAAGGAATGGAGTCGATAGTCCTTCAGAGAATGTCATTTATAGTGCGGATTTATTTAAATATAATAACCTCTTGCAATTAATGAAAATTGCTTGGTAATGAACACAAGAAAACCAACCTGCTCTTTCAGAACTCCCTTCAGTGGATTGATTAGTCTTAAGTTGGGGTGACTGTGGAGACCATGGAAAGTGGGTAATGACAATACCATACCCTTTAAACCGCTTTCTGAATGATCTAACTCTATAGATAGGTGTATTATCACCTTGGAACACACCAGTTGTGTCGTGATGGTAATAGAGAATCATGACTAAATCGTCTCCATCCGTCCTTATTGACATGATGCTGTCTTGACGGTATTACTCACGAGGTTAACTGCACGTACAAAACATACTTAATGGATAGGTGTATTATCACCTTGGAACACACCAGTTGTGTCGTGATGGTAATAGAGAATCATGACTAAATCGTCTCCATCCGTCCTTATTGACATGATGCTG